TGAGATTTTTGGTTCCAACCGCCGTGTCTTTGTGACGCGGTGTGGGTGAACGGATGATCTCCACGTGTATTTCCCACCGTAAAGCATGGAGGTGGTGTTATGGTGTGGGGGTGCTTTGCTGGTGACACTGTCTGTGATTTACTTAGAATTCAAGGCACACGTAACCAGCATGGCTACCACAGCATTCTGCAGCGATACGCCATCCCATCTGGTTTGGGCTTAGTGGGACTATCATTTGTTTTTCAACAGGACAATGACCCAACACACCTCCAGGCTGTGTAAGGGCTATTTTACCAAGAAGGAGAGTGATGGAGTGCTGCATCAGATGACCTGGCCTTCACAATCCCCCAACCTCAACCCAATTGAGATGGTTTGGGATGAGTCAGACCGCAGAGTGAAGGAACAGCAGCCAACAAGTGCTCAGCATATGTGGGAACTCCTTCAAGACTGTTGGAAAGCATTCCTCATGAAGCTGGTTGAGAGAATGCCAAGAGTGTGCAAAGCTGTCATCAAGGCAAAGGGTGGTTATTTGAAGAATCTCAAATATTAAATATATTTTGATTTGTTTAACACTTTTTTGGTTACTACATGATTCCATATGTGTTATTTCATAGTATTCTACAATGTAGAAAATAAATAAAAACCCTTGAATGAGTAGGTGTGTCCAAACTTTTGACTGGTAGTGTAGATAGCTAACATATTCATGCTTCGCCTATCACTCTCTGATTTTAAGATACCGTTGTACCAACAACATACTGATCTAGGCTGTATTAGCTAGCTATGTTTGCGCGGACTCTTAGTACATTTAGCAAGCTAGATAGCCCGCTAACTAGCTATTATCATTACACTATGTGCACAATTATTACGCAATTCAGTGTTTTGACCATATCATCATTATTATGCATATTTCCCAACTCCAAGCTGTATAAACGGGAATGCTTATTGAATTTAAGCATATTAGGTGATGTGTAATGAGGGAGGGTGTGGCCTAAGGAGATCAACACCCTATATCAAGGTGTGTATAATTATTAGGCAGCTGCTTTTCCTCAGGCAAAATGGGCCAAAAAAGAGATTTAACTGACTCTGAAAAGTCAAAAATTGTAAAAAATATATCAGGGATGCAGCACTCTTGAAATTGCTAAGATATTGGGGCGTGATCACAGAACCATCAAACATTTTGTTGCAAATAGTCAACAGGGTCGCAAGAACTGTGTTGAGAAAAAAAGACTCAAATTAACTGCCAAAGATTTGAGAAGAATCAAACGTGAAGCTACCAGGAACCCATTATCTTCCAGTGCTGTCATATTCCAGAACTGCAACCTACCTGGAGTGCCCAGAAGTACAAGGTGTTCAGTGCTCAGAGACATGGCCAAGGTAAGGAAGGCTGAAACCCGACCACCACTGAACAAGACATAAGTTGAAACGTCAAGACTGGGCCAAGAAATATCTGAAGACATATTTTTCAAAGGTTTTATGGACTGATGAGATGAGTGACTCTTGACGGACCAGATGGATGGGCCCGTGGCTGGATCAGTAACGGGCACGGAGCTCCACTTCGACTCAGACGCCAGCAAGGTGGAGGTGGGGTACTGGTATGGGCTGGTATTATTAAAGATGATCTAGTTGGACCTTTTCGGGTTGACGATGGACTCAAACTCAACTCCCAAACCTACTGCCAGTTTCTTCAAGCAGTGGTACAGGAAAAAGTCTGCATCTTTCAAGAAGACCGTGATTTTTATGCAGGACAATGCTCTATCGCATGCATCGAAGTACTCCACTGCGTGGCTAGCCAGTAAAGGCCTTAAAGATGAAAGAATAATGACATGGCCCCCTTCCTCACTTGACCTAAACCCTATTGAGAACTTGTGGTCCCTTCATAAACGGTCGATTTACGGTGAAGGAGGCTGTGGTTGCTGCTGCACAAAAAGTAGATTGTCAACAGATCAAGAAACTGACAGACTCCATGGATGGAAGGCTTAGGACTGTTATTGAAAAGAAGGGTGGCTATATTGGTCACAGATTTTTTTTGTTGAAATGTTAGAAATGTTTATTTGTAAATGTTGAGTTGTTTGTTTATTATTCTCACTTTAACAGATGAAAATAAACAAGTGAGATGGGGAACTTTTCGTTTTTCATTTAGTTGCATAATAATTCTGCACACTAATAGTTGCCCAATAATTGTGCACACAGATATTTTCCAAAGAAAGCCAAAACCTCACTTTTACTTTCTTCAATATTCAGGTTTGAGGTTTATTAACATTTTGAATTGACCGAGAGCACTGTAGTTGTTCAATAATAAAATGAATCCTCAAACATACAACTTGCCTGATAATTGTTCACACAGTGTAGTGGCTAACAATATTTATTATATATTTTATTTAACCTTTATTTAACTAGTCTAGTCAGTTAAGGACGAGTTCTTATTTACAATGACGGCCTACCAAAAGGCAAAAGGCCTCCTGAGGGGACAGGGGCTGGTATAAAAGAATATTGGACAAAACACACCTAAGATGACAACACAGCTAGGTAGCAACACAACATGACAACAACATGGTAGCAACACAACATGGTAGCAACACAGCATGACAACACAGCATGGTAGCAGCATAACATGGTACAAACATGATTGGGCAACAGACAACAGCACAAAGGGCAAGAAGGTAGAGACAACAATACATCACGCGAAGCAGCCACAACTGTCAGTAAGAGTGTCCATGATTGAGTCTTTGAATTTTAGCCACAACTTGCTAAGAAAATACAAACTATCAGACCGTAAGATACAAACTAGTAGTGTAACTATAGAACGATTGTGGAAAGCAGAATGTCACCAACATCTTGTTGCATCTATCTGACCATGCAGACTGCAGAGGGAACAGCAAAAAAGTGCTTGTTACTCCGTGATCGAGCAACTGCGCTCTCCTTGAGTGACGGGGGGGGGGCGGGGGGTGCGGTACGCATCGCTAGCAAAGATAAACTAAACGACATTACAAATTTTGGGGTTTTGGTTTTTTTTCCTTTTTTTAAAAAAAAAAAGGGGGGGTTTTTTTTTTTTAAAAAATTTTTTTGGAATTTTTTTTTTTTCCCACAAAAAAAAAAACCAAAAAAATTTTTTTTTTTTGGGGGGGGGTTTTTAAAAAAAGGGGAAAAAGGGGGTTTAAAAAAAATTTTAAAAAAAAAAAAAAAAATTTTTAAAATTTTTTTTCCCCAAAATTTATTTTTGGGGTTTTTTTTTTTTAAAAAATTTTGGGGTTTTTTTTTTAAAAAAAAAACCCCCCCCAAAAAATTTTTAAAGGGGAAGGGGGGTTTTTTTTAAAAAAAAAAACCCCCTTTTTTTTAAAAAAAAGGGGAAAAAAAAAAAAACCCTTTAAAAAAAAATTTTTTAAAGGGGGGAAAAAAAAATTTTTTTTAAAAAAAAAAAAAACGGTTGGGAAAAAAAAAACAAAAAAAAACAAAAAACCCCGGGGGCCCCCTTTTTTGGGGCCCCCTTTTTTTTGGAAAAACCCCCCAAAGGGAAGAAAATTTAAAAAAAAAAAGGGGGGCAAAAATGGCCAAAAAGGTTTTTTGGGGGTTTTTTTTTCCCCCCAAAAAAACTTGGGGGGGAAAAAAAAAAAAAAGGGGTTAAATTAAAAAAGGGGGGGGTTTTTAAAAAGGGGGGGGGGTTTTTTTTGGGGGGGGGCCCCGCCCCCCAAAAAAAAAAAAAAACTTCCCCCAAAAGGGCCCCTTTTTAACCCCTTTTTTGGGGGGGGAAAGGAAAAAAAACCCCCCCAAAAAAAAAAAAAAGGAAAAAAACCCCCCCAAAAAAAAAAAGGGGTTTTTTGGGGGGGGGGGGTTCCGGGGAAAAACCAAAAAAATTTTTTAAAAAAAAAAAAAAATTTTTTTCCTTTTTTTTTTTGGGGGGGGGGGTTTTTTGGGGGGGGGGGGGGAAAAAAAAAAAAAAAAAAAAAAAAGGGGGGGGGAAAAAAGGGGGGGAAAAAAAAACCCCAAAAAAAAAAACCCCCCCCCCCCCCCCCCCCCCCCCCCCCCCCCCCGGGGCCCCCCCCCCCCCCCCCCCCAAAAAAAACCCCCCCCCCCCCCCCCCCCCCCCCCCCCCCCCCCCCCCCCCCCCCCCCCCCAAAAAAAAAAAAAAAAAAAAAAACCCCCCCCCCCCCCCCCCCCCCCCCCCCCCCCCCCTTTTTTCCCCCCCCCCCCCCCCAACCCCCCCCCCCCTTTTTCCCCCCCCCCCTTTTTTTTCCCCCCCCTTCCCCCCCTCCCCTCCCCCCCCCCCCTTCCCCCCCCCCCCCCTTTTCCCCCCCCCCCTTTTTTTTCCCCCCCCCCCCCTTTTTTTTTCCCCCCCTTTTTTTTTCCCCCCCTCCTTTTTTTTTTTTAAAAAAAGGGTTAAAGGCCAAAAAAAAAACCCCCCCCCCAATTTTTTTTTTTTCCCCCTTTTTCCCCCCCCCTTTTTTTACCCCGGGGGCCGGCCCCCTCCCCCCCCAAGGGGGGAAAAAACCCAAATTTTTCGGGCCCCGGGGCCCCCCCCAAAAGGTTTAAAAGGAAAAAATTTTCCCCGGGGGGGGGGTTTTTTTAAAAAATTTTTTTTTTTTTTCATTTTTAACCAAAAAAAGGGCCCTTTAAAAAAAAAACCTTTTTTTTTTTATTTCCTTTTTTGGCCCAAAAGGGGGGTTTGGGGGTAAAACCCCGGAAAAATTTTTTTTTTTAAAACCGGGGTTTTGGGGGTTGGTTTGGGGGAAAAATTTGGGGCCCTTTTTTTTAACCCCCAAAAAGGGGGGGGAAAAACCCCAAAATTTTTTAAAAGGGAAAACCCAACCCCCTTTTTTTTTTCCTTTTTAAATTTTAAAAAAATTTTAAAAAAATTTTTTTAAAAAAAACCCCCCTTTTTTTTCTTTGGGTTTTTTAAATTTTTTTAAATTTTTTAACTACTTTAGGGGAAATGGTGAAGTATGATAACGATGACAATAAGAATGTTGCTTATCTCTCTCTATCCATCTCTCTCGCTCTCAGACCGTAGTTTTGAGGATGATGCGGACAGTGCAGATGGGAACCGTGCTCAGGCTGCCTTCAAAGTCCCCAAGGTCCCCAAGAAGCCGGCAGAGTCCTCTACTGCACGCAGACCCAGCACTACGGGTTCCAAGATCGGAGGTAAGAGTCAAGATCCTATTTACGTGGAAGTCCGGCCTGGCTTACCTCTTAGAAAGATATATTGATATGTCATTGGGTGCAGTAACCCAGGAGTAAGCACATTTACAAATGAAGTTCCTTCGATTTTAATTTCATACCATTTAGTCTCTTTGTTTATTTCATTAGTCTTGATGACCAAAACACGACTGCTGAGACGTCCGATATAAAATACAAACTTTATTCATCACATTTCTATGTCCGTTTCTCCTGAGCTGGGGTAATGGCCAGATAAACCATGCTGGCCAAGTTGTTGCTGTGTTGACGGTCAGACGGAGAGCTGAGCTAGCGGGTCGGCTATCAGGGGTTCGCCACAGTTTAGGAACTCAATCCGGCTTTCAACTTGCTCTTGAAAGTTGTAATAGTAGAATGCACAAGGTGACATTTCTAAATTGGGTAGTGAATCATCAGTTTTCCTCTTGTCTTGTCAGTCGTTGTATAGCTTAGAGAACTATTTATAACTTGTCAGAAATGTCCAGATCAACTAGCCCATGTCGGCTAACGTTTTGTAGCTAGGTTTTGTAGCCTATAGATTTTGTTGTTATGTTTGAGTCACTCAAATAGCACATTAATATACATTAGACATGGAAAAATGGTATAGAATTGCACACAAAAAAAAGCTTTAAAGGGCAAACTGTTCTCTGATGGTTGGAGTGAACCTACAGGAGGGTAGCTCTCCAGGAACAGGGTTGGAGTGAACCTACAGGAGGGTAGCTCTCCAGGAACAGGGTTGGAGTGAACCTACAGGAGGGTAGCTCTCCAGGAACAGGGTTGGAGTGAACCTACAGGAGGGTAGCTCTCCAGGAACAGGGTTGGAGTGTCACTCAGACTGGGGGATACACGCTCTCTGTCCTCTGTGTCTCTAGGTGCGTCTAAGGATGGAGCCGGGGGCATCGATGAGGAAGACTTCATCAAAGCTTTCACTGACGTCCCCACAGTACAGGTAACACACACACGCTAGTATGCATTAGTACCAGGACTGCAAGCGAAGTAGATAAGACTGTTTGTGGATACAACCACTAGTGTGAACTAAATCTGTCTCTCTGTCTGCCTGTCTCTCTCTCTCTGTCTCGCTCTGTCTGTCTCTCTCTCTGTCTCGCTCTGTCTGTCTCTCTCTCTGTCTCGCTCTGTCTGTCTCTGTCTCTCTCTCTCTGTCTCGCTCTGTCTGTCTCTCTCTCTGTCTCGCTCTGTCTGTCTCTCTCTCTGTCCTCGCTCTGTCTGTCTCTCTCTCTGTCTCGCTCTGTCTGTCTCTCTCTCTGTCTCGCTCTGTCTGTCTCTCTCTCTGTCTCGCTCTGTCTGTCTCTCTCTCTGTCTCGCTCTGTCTGTCTCTCTCTCTGTCTCGCTCTGTCTGTCTCGCTCTGTCTGTCTCTCGCTCGCTCTGTCTGTCTCTCGCTCTGTCTCGCTCTGTCTGGCTCTGTCTCGCTCTGTCTGTCTCTCGCTCTGTCTCGCTCTGTCTGTCTCTCGCTCTGTCTGTCTCTCGCTCTGTCTCGCTCTGTCTGTCTCTCGCTCTGTCTGTCTCTCGCTCTGTCTCGCTCTGTCTGTCTCTCGCTCTGTCTCGCTCTGTCTGTCTCTCGCTCTGTCGGTCTGTCTCTCTCTGTCTCTCTCTCGGTCTGTCTCTCTCTCGGTCTGTCTCTCTCTCTCTCTCTCTCTCCTCTCTCTCTCTCTCTCTCTCTGTCTGTCTCTCGCTCTGTCTCTGTCTGTCTGTCAGATCTACTCATCTCGTGACCTGGAGGATAACCTGAACAAGATCAGAGAGATCTGTTCTGATGACAAACATGACTGGGACCAGAGAGCCGCCGCAATGAAGAAGATCCGCTCGCTGATTGTTGCCGGGGCGACGGAGTACGAGTGTTTCTACCAGCACCTGAGGCTGTTGGACGGAGCGTTCAAACTGTCAGCTAAAGACCTCCGATCACAGGTGGTACGGGAGGCCTGCATCACTGTGGCGTGAGTACTACACACACACACACACACACACACACACACACAAATGCGCGTTCACACACACATCTTCTTTTTACGTTTCTTTTTACATTACTTCTCTGGGAAAAATATTTTAAAATGGAATTAGCACTTAATCTCTCCCTCTCTCTGTCCAGCCACCTGTCGACAGTGTTAGGTAATAAGTTTGACCATGGAGCCGAGGGCATTCTTCCTGTCCTGTTCAACCTCATCCCTAACTGTGCCAAGGTTATGGCCACATCAGGAGTCTCTGCTATACGCTTTATCATACGGGTGAGTTAGACCGCCACACACACCTAACACACACGCACCTGACACAGATAATTAAATGACCTTTTGTGTATTTCTCTCCCTCTCTCTCCCTCTCTCTCCCTCTCTCTGCCTCTCTCTCCCTCTCTCTGCCTCTCTCTCCCTCTCTCTGCCTCTCTCCCTCTCTCTGCCTCTCTGCCTCTCTCTCTGCCTCTCTGCCTCTCTCCTCCTCATCTCCTCTCTCTGCCTCTCTCTCACTCTCTCTGCCTCTCTGTCTCACTCCCCCTCTCTGCGCCTCTCTGTCTCACTCCCCCTCTCTACCTCACTCCCCCTCTCCGCCTCTCTCCGCCTCTCTCCGCCTCTCTCTGCCTCACTCCCTCTCTCTCTGCCTCACTCCCCCTCTCTGCCTCACTCTGCCTCTCTCTGCCTCTCTCTCTCCCTCCCTCCCTCCCTCTCTCTGCCTCTCTCTGCCTCTCTCTCTGCCTCTCTCTCTGCCTCTCTCTGCCTCTCTCTCTGCTCTCTCTCCCTCTCTCTGCCTCTGCAGCACACACACGTTCCCAGACTCATTCCCCTGATCACCAGTAACTGCACCTGCAAGTCTGTGGCCGTCAGAAGGTGAGGGTGATGAAAATAATTGATGAAGTTGATGAAACTGAAGAGGATTGTAGTAATGATGTTTCTTCCTCCCTCAGGAAATGCTTTGACTTCCTGGACCTGCTGCTGCAGGAGTGGCAGACCCAGACTCTGGAGAGGTGAGAGGTCAACACACAGCCGGACAAATATAGGGCCGTTCAAAAGCCAATGGAATCTTGGTAGAATCTTATACACGTGTTATTTGCATGACGTAACAATGTACATATTGCCAAAGCGTACTTTTGGAAATTAAATGATTCATTTACAATATTAACATTAGTTAAAATAATAATAATCAATATTGTCAACGGGACAATCAGTAACAACAATAATCAAGGGTCAAAATAACCATTGAACAATAACAATGGCATAGAGGACATGTGCAGGTTGGTTGGTCTGTCAGACACTGTCCCTCATCTTATGGCAGGCAGCAATGTAGTGAGCTGCCAACCACAGCTCTCTAAGTCCTCCCCCAACAGGACAGGTAGCCTGAGTCCTCCCCCAACAGGACGGGTAGCCTGAGTCCTCCCCCAACAGGACGGGTAGCCTGAGTCCTCCCCCAACAGGACGGGTAGCCTGAGTCCTCCCCCCAACAGGACGGGTAGCCTGAGTCCTCCCCCAACAGGACGGGTAGCCTGAGTCCTCCCCCAACAGGACGGGTAGCCTGAGTCCTCCCCCAACAGGACGGGTAGCCTGAGTCCTCCCCCAACAGGACGGGTAGCCTGAGTCCTCCCCCAACAGGACGGGTACCTGAGTCCTCCCCCAACAGGACGGGTAGCCTGAGTCCTCCCCCAACTGGACGGGTAGCCTGAGTCCTCCCCCAACAGGACGGGTAGCCTGAGTCCTCCCCCAACAGGACGGGAAGCCTGAGTCCTCCCCCAACAGGACGGGTAGCCTATTCTCATCAGAGAGGTCTTTTGAAACCATAAATAAGGGTTTCATATTTGGGGAAATTAGACTCTGTAATTGTTTAATATTTTGTCAGGAAAGGCAGCTCTGTCTCGGGTTCTGCTGTGGTGCAGTGGTTGCACAGCCTTTCCTCTACAGGGAGCCAGGTTTTCCTCTGTCTACCCTTCTCAATGGCAAGGCTGTGCTCACTGAGCCTGTACTTTGTCAAGGTTTCTCTAAGATTTTGATCAGTAATCATGGTGAAATAGTTTCTCTCAGTGTCTGCCTGTCTCTCTCTCAGGCATGCAGCGGTGATGGTAGCGAGCATTAAGAAGGGAATCGCAGATGCCGACGCAGAGGCCAGGGTAGAGGCACGCAAGTAAGAATACACACATACACACACACACATTTAGCAGACGCTAACATCCAGAGCGACTTATATTTTCATACTTTTTTCGTACTCGTCCCCCGGGGGAATGGAACCCACAACCCTGGCGTTGCAAGCGCCATGCTCTACTAACTGAACTAACAGAACACACCACACACCACCACACACAGCATTACACACATTTGCCTACACACATACTCACACCTCACACCTTATTTCTTCTCTCTCTCTCCTCCCTCTCTCCCACCCTCCCCTCTCCCCCATCTCTCCACTCCTCCCCCTCCTCCCACACTCTCTCTCCTCCACTCTCTCTCCTCCCTCTCTCTTCCTCTCTGTCCCTCCTCCCCTATCTCGCTCTCTCTTCCCTCCCTCCGCTCTCTCTGTCCTCCCCTCTCTCTCCTCCCTCTCGCTCTTGTCCTCTCTCCTCTCCCTCCGCCTCGCCTACTCGTCTCTCTCGCTCCCTCCTCTCTCTCTCTCCTCCCCCTTTTCTCTCCTCCCTCTCTCTTCTCCCTCTCTCCCTCCTCCCCCTTCTCGCTTCCTCCCCCTCCTCCTCTCCCCGCCCTCTCTCTCCCCCTCTCTCTCCCTCTCTCTCCCCTCCTCTCCCCTCTCCCCTTCTCTCTCCTCCCTCCTCTCTCTCTCCCTCTTCTCCTCCTCCCCTCTCTTTCTCTCTCCCTCTCCGTTCCCTCTCTCCCTCCTCCCCTATCTCTCTCTCTCTCCCTCCTCGCTCTCTCTCCTCCCCTCTCTCTCAGGGCATACTGGGGTCTTAGGAACCATTTCCCGGGGGAGGCGGACTCTCTGTTCAACTCGTTAGAACCGTCCTATCAGAAGAGCCTCCAATCGTCTCTCAAGAGTTCCGGGAGCGTGACGTCTCTTCTCAGAGCGACCGCTCCTCTTCCTCATCACAGGAGAGCCTCAAGTAATGAGCCCTGACCTTAATCACCTGACCCCTGACTTTTGACTATACGTTTTTGGGAGGAGGGGCTCAGAGGTACCCGAAAAGTAATGTTCTGCTCTCTCGCCCTTTCCTTCTCGCTCTCTCTCTCTCCTCTCTCCCCTCTCTCTCCCCTCTCTCCCCCCTCCCCCTCTCTCTCCCCTCTCCCCTCTCCCCTCTCCCCTCTCCCCCTCGCCCCCACTCCCCCCTCATCCCTCCCCTCCCCCCTCTCCCCTCTGGCCCCCTCTCCCTCCCCCCCTCATCCCCCATCCACTCCCCCTCCCCGCTCTCCCCTCTCTCCTCTCCCCTCTCTCTCACCCTCTCTTCTCCCTCTCCCCTCTCCCCTCTCCCCTCCCCTCTCTCTCCCCTCTCTCCAGTCCCCTCTCATCTCCCCTCTCTCCTCCTCCCCCCCTGCTATCTCCCCCCTCTCCCTCTCCCCCTCTCCTCACTATCTCTTCCTTCCCAGTCGTCCTCTGTCATCTAAATGGTCAGCTGCTCCTGGAAGAGGTGAGACATACACGCACACATACGTCTCCGGTATTGATAACATCATGATGTTGTGGTGTGTTTGTGTTTATTATATACAGTGCATTCGGAAAGTATTCAGACCCCTTGACTTTTTCCACCTTTTTTTACGTTACAGCCTTATTCTAAAATGGATTAAATAAATGTTTTTCCTCATCATTCTACACACAATACCTCATAGTGACTAAGCAAAAACAGGTTTTTAGAAATGTTTGCAAATTTGTAAAAAAAATAAAAACGGACACCTTATTTACATTAATATTCAGACCCTTTGTTATGAGACTTGAAATTGAGCTCAGGTGCATCCTGTTTCCATTGATCATCCTTGATGTTTTTACAACTTGATTGGAATCCACCTGTGGTAAATTCAATTGATTTGACATGATTTGGAAAGGCACACACCTGTCTATATAAGGTCCCACAGTTGACAGTGCATGTCAGAGCAAAAACCAAGCCATGAGGTCGAAGGAATTGTCCGTAGAGCTCTGAGACAGGATTGTGTCGAGGCACAGATCTGGGGAAGGGTACCAAAAAACATTTCTGCAGCTTTGAAGGTCCCCAAGAACAGAGTGGCCTCCATCATTCTTAAATGGAAGAAGTTTGGAACCACCAAGATTCTTCCTAGAGCTGGCCACCCGGCCAAACTGAGCAATCGGAGGAGAAGGGCCTTGGTCAGGGAGGTGACCAAGAACCCGATGGTCACTCTGACAGAGCTCCAGAGTTCCTCTGTGGAGATGGGAGAACCTTCCAGAAGGACAACCATCTCTGCAGCACTCCACCAATCAGGCCGTTATGGTAGAGTGGCCAGACGGAAGCCACTCCTCAGAAAGGCACACGGCAGCCCGCTTGGAGTTTGCCAAAAGGCACCTAAAGGACTCTCAGACCATGAGAAACTATATTCTCTGGTCTGATGTAACCAAGAATGAACTCTTTGGCCTGATTGCCAAGTTTCATGTCTGGAGGAAACCTGGCATCATCCCTACGGTGAAGCATGGTGGTGGCAGCATCATGCTGTGGGGATGTTTTTCAGCGGCAGGGACTGGGAGACTAGTCAGGCTGGAGGAGCAAAGTACAGAGAGATCCTTGATGAAAATCTGCTCCAGAGCGCTCAGGACCTCCGACTGGGGCGAAGGTTCACCTTCCAACAGGACAACGACCCTAAGCACACAGCCAAGACAACGCAGGAGTGGCTTCTGAACAAGTCTCTGAATGTCCTTGAGTGGCCCAGCCAGAGTCCGGAATTGAACCCGATCGAACATCTCTGGAGAGACCTGAAAATAGCTGTGCAGCAACGCTCCCCATCCAACCTGACAGAGCTTGAGAGGATCTGCAGAGAAGAATGGGAGAAACTCCCCAAATACAGGTGTGCCAAGCTTGTAGCGTCATACCCAAGAAGACTCAAGGTTGTAATCGTTGCCAAAGGTGCTTCAACAAAGTACTGAGTAAAGGGTCTGAATACTATTTGCAAAAATGTCTAAAAACCTGTTTTTGCTTTGTCATTATGGGGTATTGTGTGTAGATTGATGAGGGGAAAAAACGTTTATCCTTTTTAGAATAAGGCTGTAACAATGTGGAGAATGTCAAGGGGTCTGAATACTTTCCAAATGCACTGTGTGCAAGCAAGTGATTGTATAGTAGGTGGTGGTGGTATTTGTGGTTTTTGCATGTGTGTGTATATATATATCCTCCTTCCTCCCTTCCCCCTCCCAGTCCCGGCGGGTCATAAGGGCGGGGCGTCACCGGGCTCCCTGCAGCGTTCCCGTAGCGATGTGGATGTTAATGCGGCAACGGTTGCTAAGCAGCGGCACATCGGGCATGTGGGGGCGGGGAGACTGACCCCCAGCTCCTACTCCTCATTGGGTAAGGAAGCTGTCAATCAAACTAGACAGCCAACCAATCAGACAGACAGTTTAGACATCAGTCTATATCAGTCAGCCGCCCGTCAATCAGTCCATCAATTAATAAATCAATCACCCAGACGCGCGCGCACACACGCAGACACACACGCACGTACACACACACACACACACACACACACACACCACACACACAGTCATAGGCTGTATGTTAAAATGGTTTCCTGCGCCTTTCAAGACCTGGGCTGAACATCTCTGAATACACTTCCTGCCTCTCTCTCTCCTCCCCCATGTTTGTCTGAGTGTGGCTCTCTGTGTGTGTGCTTGCTGTCTGTATTGGTGTTGTCTGGCTGTGTTTGTGTAGCTGTGGTCTGTCAGTGTGTATCTGTTTGGACTATGTTGTCTTACTAACACAGACACTATACCTCTCTTTCTCTTTCTCGCTCTCTGCCACTAAAGATGATGCCTCTGATAAAACAGATGGTAAGATCAACTCCTTCACTCTCCGCCGCTCAAAAACACCCCACGCTTTTCTTATTTTCCTTTCTCTATGTTTTCTTTAATTCCTCCCTTCATCCCTCCTTCCTGGACAGGAAAGAGTTAACTCTGTAACCATGGCGCCCTCTGCTGTTCCTCTGTACTCTCACATTATCTCGTATTCCATAAATGTGACCGACCGGCTCAATTCGGTCTTATAAAGCTACATTTAATTTTTTACTTTCGATAAAAGTAGAGACTCAGAGCTAGAACATGGTATATCATACACTACAGTTGAGGAACAATGGGAAAATAATTCTGCTTTGGAAGTTGATTAACTTGTAACTCCACTTTTGAGAAAATGGCCCTTGAATGTTTTGGTACACCTACTGGGAAGCTCTTCTTTGTCTACACCCATTCAGCATCATTCACAACCTCTTAAGCCTTAGCCCCACCCATCTCTTTAAGGATTTACATGTGAGGCCATGTGCTAAACAGAGTGAGTACGGTAGTGCACTAAACAACGAAAGATTTCAAGACTAAAGGCTGGTTTATACTACGTCTATCGACATGTCTGTAGACAGTTGTCGCAGTGACATCACGAACATTCTATTGTTGTCTGACATCAAACTTGTTGTCGTTATGAAAAAGTATAAACACAAAAATGACATCAGCGGATTGGTGGTCCAAAATAGCAAAACTGTTGTATGAATGTTGTTTTTGATGAAATGTTTTTATTTTATTTTTATTTTTTTATGAATAAATGAAATTTGATTTCTGTGTCAAATCGCAATATTGGCAACCCATCCCTTATGGGATTAATTGACACATAAACAATGATTACAATAATTCAGTGTGGTAATTCAAAGATAATTCTTTCAGTGTTCTCTGCATTGCCCATCACATTAAGAGTGAACAAACGTAAGGTACAAATCAATACATAATAGTCAATAACGTTATGCAAACAATAATTATATCCCTAGAGCAATACAATTATATACATACATACAGTACCAGTCACCTACTCATTCAAGGGTTTTTCTTTACTTTTACAATTTTTTACATTGTAGAATAATAGTGAAGACATCAAAACTATGAAATAACACATATGGAATCATGTAGTAAGTATACAGAAGATAGCCCTATTTGGTAAAAGGCCAAGTCCATATTATGGCAAGAACAGCTCAAATATGCGAAGAGAAACGACAGTCCATCATTACTTTAAGACATGAAGGTCAGCCAATACGGACAATTTCAAGAACTTTGAAAAGTTTCTTCAAGTGCAGTCGAAAAACCCTTGAATGAGTAAGTGTGTCCAAACTTTTGACTGGTACTGTACACACGTACCATTAACCACATAGAAACGAAATAACTATAGGTAGCCCTTTTTACTTTTATTCCAGGCTTTATCTAAATATTCCGCAAACGGAAATACATAATGGACAAAAAAACATTTCAGTTTCTCATCATCGCTCAGCCACATAATGCCAGGGTATATCTGGAATAAGAGCAAGCGTATATATCGTGGTAGAAAGGGCAATAGATGATCAAATTAGTTTCATTTTATATTTCTGTATTTTAACACCAATAAACCCATCCGTTTAAAAATGCATTTAGTAATGCCAATCTTGCAAACCAGGCAACTAAATCGACTATCTAAACAATGTTTTGGTTAGTTTCTAGCTTGTTAGCTAGCTAGCTAATGTTAAGTTAGCTGGCTAGCTAGTTCAAATAATGACCATATTATATAGCTGACAATGTCTTAAGTTTAGCTAATTTGTATTTGTTATTGCAGGAAAATAAACTCACAACAAGATCATTCTTTACAAGTTAATGGTGAGCTCATTACAGAAAATAACTTGTAGCTCAGTTGGTAGAGCATGGCGCTTGCAACGCCAGGGTTGTGGGTTCGATTCCCACGGGGGACGAGTATATAAATAAATAAATAATGTATGCACTCACTAACTGTAAGTCGCTCTGGATAAGAGCGTCTGCTAAATGACTAAAATGTTTTGAGTGTGACTAAATAAAACCAGGGCATTCTACCTGAGAATTTTATAACTTTGACACTGTCTCGTTGGACTAATATTATATCCTAATTTGACTTTGGTGCAGGTCATGTTCTTCACATTACCATTTCTGGTAAACACACACGATATCAAATATAATCTAAGTTTATTAGTCACATGCACAGGATACAGAAGATGTAAACGTTACAGTGAAATGGTTACTTGTATAGTGGAGTATTTTTTTTTAGACATGTAGCTAGCTAGCTAAACAATGAACCATTATCCCAACTCATTACGTTACTACCCTGCATGAATCTGCAGGTAGCTTAAGCTAACCAACTATGTTCAATGTTAGCTTGCTAGCTTACATTAGGCTATAACTAGCAATGCAAATGGATCTGAGATACGAATAATATTATTACACAGATCATACACGTAATGTTAGCTAGCTAACGACTTTCTTACAAAGTTAGCAACCTATCATATCTGAAAATGTAACTAGCTAGACGCTCTTACCCGTATACACGGATGAAAGCGTCTCCCTCTTGCAAGCCGAAGAACACAATCCCAACCGTGAAGCATGGGGGTGGCAATATCATGCTGTGAGGGTGCTTTGCTGCAGGAGGGACTGGTGCACTTCACAAAATAAATGGCATCATGAGGAAGGAAAATTAGTTACAGCAGCTCTGTCAGGAGGAATGGGCCAAAATTCACCCAACTTATTGTGGCTACCCGAAACATTTGACCTAAGTTAAACAATTTAAAGGCAATGCTAACCGAAATACTAATTGAGTGTATGTAAACTTCTGACCCACTGGGAATGTGATGAAAGAAATAAAAGCTGAAATAAATCATTCTCTCTACTATTATTCTGACATTTCACATTCTTAAAATAAAGTGGTGGTCCTAACTGACCTAAGACAGGGAATTTTTACTAGGATTAAATGTCAGGAATTGTGAAAAACTGAGTTTAAATGTATTTGGCTAAGGTGTATGTAAACTTCCGACTTCATCTGTACCTGTATATAGACTCGTAGTATTCAGCAGTAATGCTTCTTACCTTCTCTAAACTAGTGCTTAGTAGTGGAGGGTGGTGGGCTCTGTTCTATTCAGAAAGTGTGAGAAGTGTGTGTCCAGTCAGTGTCCGGTCTAACAGTATGACCCCTAACCTCAGGTCGTCTGAGGACCAAGCAGCCTCTCACCACGGCAACAAGCATCAGCCAGGTGGACTCCCGGGGACGCGCCCGCACCAAGATGGTGTCCCAGTCACAACGTAAGGAGAAACACACACACATGCCTTAAACACACACACACACACACACACACGTTCACACAACTTTTGAGCCTCAAATACCACATCCCTCACATACACACAATGTAACACTGTTGTGAATGTATAAGTGTATTTGGCCGTGTGTGTTTGCGAGATAAGTTATACACACTCTTTCTGTAGTCACTGCTGGTATCCGTCACAGTGACAATAAGCTCCTGCAAATGTTTTGTATACCTCTTAGGTTCCTACGAATCAGATTTCACACCAGGTATTGTGTATGTGTGTGTGTGTGTTTTGCAGTGGGTTAGATGGACCCATTATGTTGCTCTCATGGTCACCTTTGTTTTTTGTGAGAGGGGGTGTTTTCTCTGCATGCTCTGTTGTCTCACCACTGAGAGTGTTTTGTTGTTGGTGTGAAGAGTCCAGGTCTGCCAATAGTAATACCAAAACATGACAAAATACAACTAACGCGGCACCCGGCGCTAACTAACGCGGCACCCGGCGCTAACTAACGCGGCACCCGGCGCTAACTAACGCGGCACCCGGCGCTAACTAACGCGGCACCCGGCGCTAACTAACGCGGCACCCGGCGCTAACTAACGCGGCACCAGGCGCTAACTAACTCGTTCTGACTTCTCTGGTACCAGCGTAGCAGTGGACTGGTCTGACCTCTCTGGAACCAGCGTAGCAGTGTGTGTGTGTGTGTTTTAAATAAACTGTAGTGACCATTAAGCCCCCAAATCATAATCCAAATGATGGATTATGGGTTTGATGTGAAAATCAGGAATCTGCTGCCACAGACGAGTTCAAATGGGATCACTCTGATGAGGCTCCCACTGAGATTAACAGAGAGAAAATTAAGAATGATGTGGGAGATAGCTTTGGGATAGAGAGCTGTGCTAGTGCAGTGCAGGTTTTGGGTGTGTGTGTGTGTGTGTGTGAGAGTGTGTCTGTGTGTGAGTGTGTGTTTTTAGAGCATTTTTACTTTAAGGTGTTTTTATTTCCTCCATTGTAAAGCTGCTTTGCTTTGTCAGCGATACGTCTGCGTCACACACCGGCTACCCATCATGCAATGTTTTACTGTTCCTCCATCAAGCATCACAGCTGGCTCCGTGTGTGTCAGCCTTCAAAGTTTATTCTATATTTATTAATATTTCATTGATACATTTATTTCCGTGTTTTGAAGCGTGTTCATTGTCGCTTTCATTCTCTCGTCTAGGAACGCTCGGAATGCTCCCATGATGCTCTCTGTATTCTAACTCCCATGGTGCTTTGTGCTCTTAACACCCATAATCCATCTTGTTTAATTTCCTGTTCCTGTCCCCGCCTCCGCTCCCTTCCCAACCAATGGTCTTACGGCTCCTCCCCCCTCTTTCCAATCCCTCCTTCTCGTTGATGCAGGATCTCAATCTGCTACCCCCGTTGGTAAGAATCTAACGTCTACTACCTGTTACCCTCACCCCCTCTCTCACCCTTCATCTGTTCTCACCCCTCACCCAAGCTGGTCACCTAAAGCTCCACCCCTTCTCTGGCTGAAGCATGCTGGGACTTTTAGTTCAAACTGAAACATGGCTTTCTGCCTTCTATGACTCCTTACTCTCTGAGCTGAGGCCTGTGTCTACCTGTTAGGAGGTAGCAGAGGGGATGAGGGGATAGATGCAGGAGATATGAGAGAGAAGGGGAGGGGAGGGAGCGATGCATTGGGTGATTCTGATGCATGGGAAGTAGAATGCCATGTGACCAGCATGCTCTGACAGACCAGACCACTCTGAGGTGGGGTTGTAGGGACACGGAGGTATCTTAGTCACGTAGTGTTGGCTCCATCTCACTGGGTGTTACAAGTCACTCATAGTGGTGTGTGTGTAGTATGGTTTGTGTATTCTAGAATGGTTTGTGTATTCTAGTATGGTTTGTGTATTCTAGTATGGTTTGTGTATTCTAGTATGGTTTGTGTATTCTGCGTGTGTGGTGAAATAGATTGATTTGATACGTTTCAGTTGTGTGGTAAACAGTTTTTCTCACTTGTGCCACATTACCCTCTCTTTCCACACATTTCACTTTCACACCTCTTCACGTCTGTCTTTGAGTTAAGATTTTACATTTACATTTTAGTCATTTAGCAGACGCTCTTATCCAGAGCGACTTACAGTTAGTGAGTGCATACATTTTTTTAATCTTTTAAATCTTTTTTTTTCATAAGATAGATCACAAAACTAAGGCATGTGTAGATCTGTGTCAGTCACCATGAGGCATTATGGGCAGTGTGATTGGCGACTGGAGGAATGAAGAACATATATTCTACTCCATGTCATTATTTGGGAATAAGCAAACGACCCACCGAAGATGACCGTCTCAAAGCTGGTCCACTGAGTCCGGTTGAAAACAACCCCTAACCCTGAAATCAAAATGGCTGAAGTTCCATGGAGTCCATTCACCATGTTCCTACACAGATCTAGTTCCTTCTGATCTGCTTACCAGACCTGGGTCAATAATACACTCAAATATTTTCAAAGACTTTAGTTGCACTTGATTTACTATTGAAGTAATGGGAATAATACTCCCATAAGGTACAAACAAGCGCACCTTGTACTTTTTAAGTGTTTGACGTATGTATTTCATTTAACCCAGATCTGATGCAGACATGGTGATGGGGCTAGGGGATGTTATTCCGTAGACAACAGTGTCCCACTCATGACTAGTGTGTGGTCTGTGTCTCTAACTCTCTCCCCTCCCTCCCTCTCTCTCTAGCCGGCAGTCGGAGTGGTTCCCCGGGCCGTGTCCTGACCAGTACAGCTCTGAGTACGCTGGGTTCTGGAGCCCAGAGGGTCCTAGCCGGGGCCGGAGGGGCTGGGACGGGAGGGAGACGTAGCCGCATCCCCCGCAGCCAGGGCTGCTCACGAGACTCCTCCCCTACACGCCTGTCTGTTGGTGAGTAGGGCACACGGTTCCCCAAGCCGCCTCCTTTTCCTTACTCGACAGGATGCATTGATTTTTATCTTTGTTTGTTATTTCTAAACCAATAAAATCGTCCCCTCCCCCATTGGCCTGCTTCTGTTTCTTCCTGCTCACGCCTGATTGGCTAAGGCCCAGAGATTGACAGGTTTCACACACACACACACACACACACACACACAGGGGTTCTGCGTGCATCTCCCTCTGGACTCTTACCTCGTTGTCATGACAACTTGATCAATCCCCACCAATCGCATGCTTCCCTTGCCACCGCATCGTTGTGTGATGATGTCACAGATCAGTCCGTTCGTTTCTCCCAACAACTTTGAAAGCAATAATTATTTTAAAGCTGACGTCTCTATTTTACTCCCTCTGTCTTCTTCCTCTCCTACCTCTTTCCTCTGGTCTCCAGCTCCTTCCAGTATTAGTTCCATCTACAAAGGAGCGAGCAGAGGAGGTAAGAACTCTCCGACTACCATCCCTCTAACAACTCCACCTCTGCCCACGTCCCTCCATCTCCATGTCTTTCTATCTCCATCTCTCTGTCCACCCCTCCATCTCTCTGTCCACCCCTCCATCTCTCTGTCCACCCCTCCATCTCTCTGTCCACCCCTCCATCTCTCTGTCCACCCCTCCATCTCTCTGTCCACCCCTCCATCTCTCTGTCCACCCCTCCATCTCTCTGTACACCACTCCATCTCTCTCGCCAGCACTCTATCTCACTCTCTCATCCCCCTCCATCTCTTTCACGCCATTCCGTCAGGCTGTTGATCACCGCCTCAAAATACCAGAATCCTCCTCTCTAACCTCCTAACTCATGGCTGTGTGTGTCATGGCGATGGGTTGCCATGGTAATCATGGTGACAATTTGCATCTTGCCACTAACCAATTGGCCGCAGGTGTGAATGAAGCGTCAAAGGATCGGTGACATTACACTTCCTTAGTCTGGCGTTACTTGAATTGGTGCTGTGTGCCGGCTCTTACCATACATTCGGATGAGCTTATGCTTTGGATAACTAAGGTGCCTGCCCGCCTCTCCAACCCACTTTCATCTGCTCTATTTACTTCTGTAACATGTCTGTCGTCCCCTTCTGTGTTCTCTCTCTCCTGTCTGGTCTCTCTCTGTCCTCTGTCTGTGTCTGTCTTCTCTTCTGTCTGTCTGTTTCTGTGTCTTCTGCTCTCTGTCTTCTGTCTTCTCGTCTCTCTGTCTGTGTGTACTCCTGTAGGCTTGGGTTGTTCTCCTCTTCTCTCCTGTCTTACCGTCATGTGTCCCTCTCCGTATCTTGTCTAATCCTGCTGTTGACTAGGCTTCTCTCTCTGTCTGGTCTCCTTCTGGTCCTGTCTGTCTGTGGTCTCTAGATCTACTAGTCGTGTAAATCCTCTAGCGTCGTGGTATCTACTGCCTCTGTCGACTTTACTCTCTCTCTCTAAACTTGTGCGGCGTCATCCCTCATCAAGTCTCGTGTCTCTCTCCTCAATGCGTCTCCTCTGCCTCTGCTGTATACTAATCTCCGTCTGGCTCTTGTTTGTCTCGTCTCTCAGTACTGCACTCTATTGTCACCTGTCTCACTGCGGCTTCTCTTTGGTTCTCTGACTTAATGTCTGTCAAGGTATCTAGCTCTGCATCACTTTGTTTTCTCTCTCTTGCTCTCTTGTCTCTCCTTGTTCTGTCTCTGCCACAGTCTCTCTCTCTGTGGTGTTCTTTGTACAACCACGTGATTGGGTACTACGTCTCCTCTACTGAAGACGTGCTGTGCTTTCCGTCCCTAAATCATGTGTACTAATTACCGCCGAAGTCTACTAAGTCTACAATACTCATGATACCAAATTGACGACTTGTAACCATCCGGGCTTCCAATCCTGTAAGGCTTCTCTTAAACCCAAGTAGCGCGAGTCAGTCATTCAGAGCCCGACTCTGTACTTTAGGGCTGTCTAACAGGCTATTATTGGCCTTCCTCATGTAAAAAAAAAAAAACTATTGAGACTCGCCCATGAAGCCAGTAGGGCTGTACTCTTATTCGGTCCTGTCTATCAGTGTCACTCTAATGTCTCTCTCTCTCTCACGCGCGCTCTCTCTCTGTCTCTCTCTCTCTGTGTTAATTTGTTGTTCTATCCCTCTTTATTTTTCTCCTTTGTCCTCTCTCTCTGTGTCTATCCGTTTCCCTTACCCTCGGTCTCCCCCCCCCTCCCCTCCCCTCCCCCTGGGACATTACCATGGTGTACTGTAGCTCGGGGCAGTCGTATCCCTCGGCCCAGTATGAGTCAGGGCTGTAGCAGGGAGGCCAGCCGAGAGAGCAGCAGAGACACCAGCCCTGTACGCTCCTTTACACCCCTGGGTGAGTAACACACACACACATCATCGACACTACGTAGTAACACACACACACATCATCGACACCACGTAGTAACACACACACACACACACATCATCGACACTACGTAGTAACACACACACACACCATCGACACTACGTAGTAACACACACACACACCATCGACACTACGTAGTAACACACACACACACACATCATCGACACTACGTAGTAACACACACACACACACACACATCATCGACACTACGTAGTAACACACACACACATCATCGACACTACGTAGTAACACACACACACACACATCATCGACACTACGTAGTAACACACACACACACACACATCATCGACACCACGTAGTAACACACAAACAAAGACAAGCCATCATTATGGAACAACAAAACGGACAACCTTGCAGACATTTGATCCAACGTCAACACGTGCTAGCTTTTGGATGTCATTAATCCACTGTAGAACACTTAACCAGACCAGGAGCGCACAGGCAGGCAGGCAGGCAGCAAGAAAGCCGTGCCTCAACACTAAGGTAGATTATTCCCAGCCGTTTGGACTGCCTGGGCTAGCGGAGATCACTCCTTGCTACAGAAATGGAATACTGTCAGACGCTGTAGGGAAGCAGAACTGGACCTTTATAGGGCTACTACTACACACACTCTGACATGTTACATGGTTCTGGGTCTCACTTTCTCTCACACACTGTGTGAGTGGGTTCTAACGGTGGGTGGGGGGGGTGTGTGTTTCTGTGTGTTTCTACATGTGTGTCTGTGTGTTTCTACGTGGTTGATGGTTGCAGCGTCGCGCCACTACTCTCGCTCCACGGGAGCTCTCCACACCGCCGATGCTTTAGGGGCCGCAGGTGAACAATGAGTACCTCTATCCTCTTTCTCTCTCTCCATCCGCTTGAGTCCTTCTCTTTTACGTTCTCTACAGCTACTCCTCCTTTTTTTTTTTCCTTCCTTCTCTTCCTGGACCTCAAGTTTCCGCCACCCCGTTCAGTTGCTATGACAACCATTTTGTCTTCATTCCGATGATGCATTTGTAATCGCGCTTTCCTCACTTATCGATTTCCTGATTTTAGCCCCTCTTCCCTTCGACACGGACACGCCCCCGCACAGCGTCCTCCATGTTTGTTTTTTGTTTACTCCCATCATGCTTTGCATGGAAGGTCACAGCTCTTGGGGTCAAGGTTCATTTGGTTATTTATTCACCATGCCATCTAGCCGGGGGGGGGGGGGGGGGGGTTTGTTATGTGATTGGTGGAGGTCGGAGGGAGGTCGGTGATCGGATCGGGTGGGTGAGCGTGGGAGGGAGAAGGTTTGATGGGGTGGGGGAGGGAGGGAAGAGGTTGGTGAGGGAGTGAATAGGAGAGGAGGTCGGAGGCGATGAGGGAGGAGGTCGGAGGCGATGAGGAGGTTAGAGATGATGAGGGTGGGAGGGAGGAGGTCGGAGGCGATGAGGGTGGGAGGGAGGAGGTCGGAGGCGATGAGGAGGTCGGAGACGATGAGGGTGGGAAGGAGGAGGTTGTTGGGTGAGGGTGGAAGGGATTGCAATTTGATGTGTTTGACTGCATCTATAATATGTGCGTTTCAGGGTCTCTCTTTCGCTCTCTCTGTCCTCCCTCCAGGGTCAGGCTACAGTATCAGTCATCTGCCGTCGTCCGTCAGCGCCATGAGAGTCCTCAACACAGGATCTGATATAGAGGAGGCCCTCGCTGACGCCCTGGTACACATCAACTCTCTCCCTGTCTCTCCCTGTCTCTCCCTGTCTCTATCATGGCTCATTATATACACACATACAAGCACTTACACTGTACACACACGCTCTCTCACACTAACTCAAAGTGGTATTCAAAGTCAGGGTCGCGACCCATAGTGAGGTTATTTACATTTTTAATAAGTGAGATGAAAATGGAATGAATTGAAGGTTATTTGTTGATGTAAAAAATTTACATTTACTGATTTTTTAAAAGTTTCTGTCATTATATTTGGGATATGGTGAAAAACATGGGTTCCCTGTTGAAAAGGTTTGAATACCACTGCACTAACTGTTGTGGTGACTAACCACTGGTTCCTCCTCTGTTTAACGCTATCAGCTGTTGGGGGACATGAGATCCAAGGTCAGCTTCTCTATCTGCTTGTGTGTGTTGTGTGTGTGTTGTGTGTGTGTGTGTTGTGTGTGTACAAACGCCAAGTATGTTTCTCTCTCCCTCCCCCTGTAGACGAAGCCAGCGCGCCGGCGCTATGAGAACTATGGGATGTGTTCGGATGATGACGCTAACAGTGACGCGTCCAGCGCCTGCTCAGAGCGCTCCTACAGCTCCAGGAACGGAGGGGCCATCCCGACGTACATGAGACAGACTGACGACGTGGCCGAGGTCAGGAATCATTGATTTATTGGCACCATGTGCAAATAACATTCCCTTATTCCAATTTTTTCAAGCACTTCTGTTCAGATAATCCCCCATGCTTTCTGTGGATTCCTGGCTGAAGATTCAATAGTTCATTTATTTAGGACGTTGTCATCCATCCTTTAACCCTCTGTCCCCCAGGTGTTGAACCGCTGTGCCAGTGCTAACTGGTCGGAGAGGAAGGAGGGGCTTCTGGGTCTACAGGCTCTACTGAAGAACCAATGCACCCTCAGGTCAGCCTATCACAACGTAGGGTTTAACCTGGCAACCTATGACAACGCAGGGTTTCACCTGGCAGCCTATCACAACGCAGGGTTTCACCTGGCAGCCTATCACAAATGCAGTCAGAGAAAAAGTTTATCCGATGCAATACATATGCTACCATAGCTGTATTCACCTTTGTCTAACCGTTTGGGGTGTGTGTGTGTGTGTGTGTGTGTGTGTGTGTGTGTGTGTGTGTGTACACAGTCGTGTGGAGCTGAAGAGGTTGTGTGAAATCTTCACCAGGATGTTTGCAGACCCCCACAGTAAGGTATGGATGCATGCACAGCTACCACACACACACACACACACACCTTACACACACACACACACACACACCTTACACACACACGCACACAACACACAGACACCTTACACACACACACCTTACACACACACACAGTCACGTTACACACACACACACACACACCTTACACACACACCTTACGCACACACGCACACAACACACAGACACCTTACACACACACACACACCTTACACACACACACCTTACACACACACACCTTACACACACACACACACACACAGTCACCTTACACACACAGTCACCTTACACACACACACACACAACACACAGACACCTTACACACACCTGCGTTTATACAAGATTCTGCCGAAAACAACACTCACTAAACTAGGTTCTGCAAACACACATTTATTCTCACACACGGAAACACAGAAACACACAGACACACAGACACACTAAGACTCATAATCAGACCAATAGTAATGAGCACACATACAGCATGTGGTGCGTGCTGCGGGATCTGACTGGTTTCTAACGGCATGCCACGCCTGGGTCTGTGTGACCTCACTCCGCTAGCCAATGGGATTGCTCTCTCACTGCTGGTTGTGCTAACCTCGCTCACGGCAACTCCTCCCCTCTTCCTCCCTGCGTGATCTATATACGGTTCGCCCTGCCCCCTCTAACGGCACTCCCCCTCCCCTCCTGCCGGCGTTTAGTGTTCCCCCAACCCGCTCCCCCGTACAAAGGTTAGTGTGTGTTCCCCCTGCCGCCCCCAACCCCACGTCCTGCCCCTCGTCTGACGGTACCGGTTGTGACTTTCAGCGAGAATCCGGATCTAGGGTCTTTGGAACGGCAGAATCCGGTGTAAGCTCAGCCTCCTTCAAGGTACACCTAAACATCACACACTTCTCTCTTCGGCTCTCTCTCTCTCTCTCTTTCTCTCTCGTGTGTATACAGGCACAGAGATTCCTATAAGAATCAGGAGGTTCTGATAATAGGGCTGCAGTCCTAGTCTGATATGACATCACAATACCACCTGTTTCAGTCCTAGTCTGATATGACATCACAATACAACCTGTTTCAGTCCTAGTCTGATATGACATCACAATACCACCTGTTTCAGTCCTTGTCTGATATGACATCACAATACCACCTGTTTCAGTCCTAGTTTGATATGACATCACAATACCACCTGTTTCAGTCCTAGTCTGATATGACATCACAATACCACCTGTTTCAGTCCTAGTCAGATATGACATCACAATACCACCTGTTTCAGTCCTAGTTTGATATGACATCACAATACCACCTGTTTCAGTCCTAGTCTGATATGACATCACAATACCACCTGTTTCAGTCCTAGTCTGATATGGCATCACAATACCACCTGTTTCAGTGCTAGTCTGATATGACATCACAATACTACCTGTTTCAGTCCTAGTCTGATATGACATCACAGTACCACCTGTTTCAGTCCTAGTCTGATATGACATCACAGCACCACCTGTTTCAGTCCTAGTCTGACATCACAGTACCACCTGTTTCAGTCCTAGTCTGTTATGACATCAAAATACCACCTGTTTCAGTCCTAGTCTGTTATGACATCAAATACCACTTGTTTCAGTTCACGGGTACTCTGACACCAGTCCGAGTCGGGAAGTGGTGTGTGTACACTGCACACATATCTCTGTGCGCGTTTGATGAGAGAGTGTGTGTGTGTGCGTGCTCGTGTGTGTGTGTGTGTGTGTGTATTTCCCAGGATGCTAACTGTTTGTATGTTTCTCTGTCCTCCATGCTTCTCCTTTGGAACTCTCTGTAGAGAGTAAGTCTGGACAACGTTTATTTTACGTTCAATTAACGTTTTATTAACGTTTGTGGTTGTGACACTAACCTGGTAATCTGATTGGCAACTAATCTCGAATTGATTAATCTGCCGAATGGTAATCTGACTGGGCGGCTAATTGAATGGTTTCCAAGGCAACCAGACTCACTAACCGACCCGGTGATGTCACCCCTCACAGATGTGACATCACTATGAAATCATCACACCCTCCTGTGATTGGTGCTGTTCTGCAGGCGACAGCCAATCAGCATGTGTGTTTAGTGAATACTGAATATTGATTGTGTATTGGTAAACATAATTCTGCTTGCTGCACGCTGACTGGAGTGACTGATTTGATTGGTTGGTTGGTTGTTAAGTGAGTGTAGTTGTCTCTTGCATGGGACCCTGAGCTCCCCTCAGCCTACCCCATAGTACCGGAGTCTGTCTGTTTCTGTGTGTATGCGTGCTCGCGTGTGTACATGAGTGTGTGTTTAAACAGTGTGTACAGTGCGTTCGGGAAGTATTCAGACCCCTTGACTTTTTCCACATTTTGTTACGTTACAGCTTTATTTTATTATGGATATACATATAAATAAAAACAATTACTCATCAATCTACACACAATACCCCATAATGACTAAGCGAAAACAGGTTTTTAGGTTTTCTTTGCAAATGTATGAAAAATAAATAACAGAGATACCTTATTTACATAAGTATTCAGACCCTTTGCTATGAGACTCGAAATTGAGCTCAGGTGCATCCTGTTTCCATTGATCATCCTTGAGATGTTTCTACAACTTGATTGGAGTCCACCTGTGGTAAATTAAATTGATTGGACATGATTTGGAAAGGCACACACCTGTCTATATAAGGTCCCACAGTTGACAGTGCATGTCAGAACAAAAACCAAGCCATGAGGTCGAAGGAATTGTCCGTAGAGCTCCGAGACAGGATTGTGTCGAGGCACAGATCTGGGGAAGGGCAGCAAAAAATGTCTGCAGCATTGAAGGTCCCCAAGAACACAGTGACCTCCATCATTCTTAAATGGAAGAAGTTTGGAACCACCAAGACTCTTCCTAGAGCTGGCAATCGGGGGAGAAGGGCCTTGGTCAGGGAGGTGACCAAGAACCCGATGGTCATTTTGACATGGCTCCAGAGTTTCTCTGTGAAGATGGGAGAATCTTCCAGAAGGACAACCATCTCTGCAGCACTCCACAAATCAGGCCTTTATGGTAGAGTGGCCAGACGCAAGCCACTCCTCAGTAAAAGGCACATGACAGCCCGCTTGGAGTTTGCCAAAAGGCACCTTAAGACTCTCAGACCATGAGAAACAAGATTCTCTGGTCTGATGAAACCAAGATTGAACTCGCCTGAATGCCAAGCGTCATGTCTGGAGGAAACCTGGCACCATCCCTACGGGGAAGCATGGTGGTGGCAGCATCATGCTGTGGGGATGTTTTTCAGTGGCAGAGACTGGGAGACTAGTCAGGATGAGGGAAAGATGAACGGAGCAAAGTACAGAGAGATACTTGATGAAAATCTGCTCCAGAGCGTTCAGGACCTCAGACTGGGGTGAAGGTTCACCTTCTAACAGGACAACGACCCTAAGCACACAGCCAAGACAACGCAGGAGTGGCTTCGGGACAAGTCTCTGAATGTCCTTGAGTGGCCCAGCCAGAGCCCGGACTTGAACCCAATCGAACATCTCTGGAGAGACCTGAAAATAGCTGTGCAGCGACGCTCCCCATCCAACCTGACAGAGCTTCAGAGGATCTGCAGAGAAGAATGGGAGAAACTCCCCAAATACAGGTGTGCCAAGCTTGTAGCGTCATACCCAAGAAAACTCAAGGCTGTAATCGCTGCCAAAGGTGCTTCAACAAAGTACTGAGTAAAGGGTCTGAATACTTATGTAAATGCGATATTTCCGTTTTTTATTTTTAATAAAATAGCAACAACCAAAAAGCACCTGTTTTTGCTTTGTCATTCTGGGGTATTGTGTGTAGATTCATGAGGGGGGAAAAAAAACAATTTAATACATTTTAGAATAAGGCTGTAACGTAAAAAAAAATGTGGAAAAAGTCAAGGGGTCTGAATACTTTCTGAAGGCACTGTGTGTGTTTATATATACAGTATGTGTGGGTGCGTGTACATTATTATGTGTGTGTGTGTGTGTGTGTGTGTGTGTGTGTGTGTGTAACCCGATGGCCCCTGTCTCTCCCCAGGTGTTCAGTATGTTCTTGGAGACCCTTGTGGACTTTGTCCTGGTGTATAAAGAAGACCTGCAGGACTGGCTGTTCGTCCTGCTCACCCAGCTGCTGAAGAAGATGGGAGCTGACCTACTGGGATCAGTACAGGCCAAGGTCCAGAGAGCACTGGACATCACACGGTCAGTCTTGGTGTGTGTAAAATGTCAGTCTTGGTGTGTTTCGACATGTGTATGTAACGTGTGTGTGTGTGTGTGTGTGTGCGTGCGCGTATATCTTATATGTGTGTGTCTGTAACTTACCGTGTGTGCGTGTTATCTCCCCTACAGAGTGTCTTTCCCCAACGACCTCCAGTTCACTATCCTCATGAGGTTCACTGTGGACCAGACTCAGACACCCAACCTCAAGGTACACAGCTGGGGGGTGTTGGGGGGTGGTTGTTTTATGTGTGTGTGTTGGGGGGTGGTTGTTTTATGTGTGTGTTGGGGGGTGGTTGTTTTATGTGTGTGTTGTGGGGTGGTTGTTTTAGTGTGTGTGTGGGTGGTTTAATTTTTGTAGGCTTTTTTAAAAAAAAATGTGGTGGGGTTTTTTTTTTTTTTTTGTTTTTGGTGTGGGGTTTTTTTTACGTTGTTTTTTTGGGGTGCTTTTGTCTTTTATGTGTGTGTGTGTTGTTTTGTGTGTGTTGTGTGTGTCGTTTGGGTTTTTTTTGTTTCAGTATGTTCTTGGGTTGTTCTTTCTGGTGTTGGGTGGGCTGGTTTTTGTCGGTTTTTTTCCCCTGTGGGTGGGTGCCTTGGTTCAGGGGGGGTCCGAGTTGGGGGGTAGGTCGCCCTTGTGTGTGGGGTTGTTTTTTGGTGTGTTTGGGGGTGTTTTTTCGTGTGTTTTGGGGGGTTTTTTGTGTGTGGGGGGGTGGGTTTTCTTTTTTGTGGGGGGGGTTTTTTCTGTCTTGTGGGGGTTGTTGTTTTCTCCCTGGTGTTTGTTTGTTTTCCTTGGTTTGTGGGTGCCCCTTCCGTTTGGTGGTGTTTGGGGTGGTTGTTTTTGTTTTGTTGGGGGGGTTTGTTTTTGTTGGTGTTTTTTGGTTTTGGTTTGTTTTTTGTGTGTTGGGGGTGGTTTTTTTTTTTGGTGTTTTTGTGGGGTGGTTTGTTTTCTGTGTGTGTTGGGGGGGTGTTGTTTTTGTGTGTTTTGTGGGGGGGTTTGTTTTTTATGTGTGTTGTGAGGTGTTGTTTTTTTGTGTTGTTTGGGTTGTTGTTTTCTTGGTTTGTGGGGGTGGTTGTTTTTTTTTTTTGGGGGTGTTGTTTTTTGTGTGTTTGGGGGGTGTTGTTTTTGTGTGTTTTTGGGGGGTGGTTTGTTTTCTTTTTTGTTGGGGGTTGGTGTTTTCTGTGTTTTGTTGGGGGTGTTGTTTTTTGTTTTTGGGGGTGTTTTTGTTGGGGTTTTTTTTTGGGGGGTTTTCTTTTTTGTGTTTTGGGGGGGGGGTTGTTTTCGGTGTGTGTTGGGGGGGGGTTGTTTGTGTGTGTGTTGGGGGGTGGTTGTTTTATGTGTGTGTGTTGGGGGGGGGTTGTTTTATGTGTGTGTTGGGGGGTGGTTGTTTTACGTGTGTGTGTTTGGGGGGGGGTTGTTTTATGTGTGTGTTGGGGGGGGGTTGTTTTTGTGTGTGTGTTGGGGGGTGGTTGTTTTTTCCTTGTGGTGTTGGGGGGGTGGTTGTTTTATGTGTGTGTTGGGGGGTGGTTGTTTTATGTGTGTTGTTGGGGGTGGTTTGTTTTCTGTGGTTTTTGGGGGGTGGTTGTTTTTTTGTGTTTGTTGGGGGGGTGGTGTTTCTGTGTGTTTTTGGGGGGTGGTTGTTTTTGTGGTTTGGGGGTGGTTGTTTTCTTGTGTGTTTGGGGTGTGGTTGTTTTCTTTTGTGTGTTGGGGGTGGTTTTTTTTGTGTGGTGTTGGGGGGTGGGTTTTTTTTTGTGTTGTTGGGGGGGTTGTTTTTGTGTGTTTTGCTTTCCCTTGGAAAGAGATGGACAGAGTGAGGAGATGATGAGGGATATAGGGAGGGCTGAAAGGACGACAGCCTATCGGTCGCAAGACTCACCTACTGTATCAGTAACCACCGTTCTGACCTCACGGCTGTTTAACGCTGGCTCCGCCCCCCCCACCCACCCGATCCCTGGACTCTGATTGGATACGACTGACACGCCTCCAATTAAATACACCAACCACTGGCTTTGTTCTGCAGTCTGATCCCTTTCCTACACTCCTTCACTCTATTCCCCCCCTTCCCTTCCTCCATCTTCTGCTCCCTCTCTCCCCTCCCTCCACCTCCCCTTCTAACCCACAGGCCGGCAGATGGCGATATTGATCTGGTATTGATGGTCCATATTACCGTCCAAACGCTTTGTATGCAGCCGGCAATGCGCTCATATCCGCTGCGGACCAGTTCGTACCCAAAACATTCTCCATTCAGGCTGAAAAGGTGTCAATATCGCAATCTGCCGGCCGGCTTGTGTCTGTCTGTCTCTCTGTCCTCCATCCCCTTCCTCCCCTCTCACTTGCCCTCTCATCTTTTCTCTCCCTCCCCTACCTTCCTCTCTCCCCCTTCTCCCCCCTCCCTCCCCCCCCCCCCCCCCCCCCCCCTCCCTCTCTCTGACACGGTGCTCTCCTCTCTCTCTCTAAGCCTGTGGAGAGGAGGGGGACGTGTTGTGGGCGGCGCGGCATTCAATTACTTCCCCCTGCTTCGAGAGTCATGCGGCGCGAAGTTAAATTGCTCCCCTCTGCCACGAGAGCCCTGAGGCACCACGCCTGCTGCTCTCTGAACGAGCAGGTCTCAGCCTGGAACCAATCTTCCCAGGTCAGTGTGCTCAGGGGGGAGCAATTTTATGACGCGCACACTGAGGAGCAGATGGTCGATGAGGTGTTTTTAATAGAGAGAGAGAGGGAAAGATGGAGAAAATGAATGAAAAATAAAATAAATCAATTAAACGCCGCTCGTGAACGGTGGCTCTTTTCCTTTTAGTTTTCATTTCTCTACATTGGTTCCTCACTCCTCCATGATAGCTGCGTGACTACTACTGTGAAAGAGATTGGCATCCTACTGCACCCTCCATTGTTGCAGATGTCTGCCTGAAACTACTACAGTTTACTTTGTATTACTGAGTACTTTTAACTTTACCTGGGCTCTGACTAGAGCCAGTTTCAGCTCAGAGTTGGGGAACTCCTAGGATGATCCATGATCCACACAGACACAAAATGTCACTGACTGTGTGTGAGTAGGTTGTCTAACGTTTATACTATGACTGTGTGTCTGTGTGTGTGTGTGTGTGTGTGTGTGTGTGTGTGAGTAGGTTGTCTAACGTTTATACTATGACTGTGTGTCTGTGTGTGTGTGTGTGTGTGTGTGTGTGTGTGTGTGTGTGTGTGTGTCTCTGTGTGTGTGTGTGTGTGTGTGTGTCCAGGTGAAGGTGGCCATTCTGAAGTACATTGAGACCTTGACCCTGCAGATGGAGCCTCAGGACTTTGTGAACTCCAGTGAGACGCGCCTGGCTGTGTCTCGCATCATCACCTGGACCACAGAGCCCAAGAGCTCCGACGTCAGGAAGGTACTGTACGCACGCACACATACACACACACACACACACACACACACACACACACATTTCTGTGCAAATGGTTGATTTATTGGTTGTAGCAAACTGATTTGGTTCCTGATGCGTGTGCGCGTGGTTGGTACATGTTATGTTGTGTATGTAAGTGTTACAAAAAGGCTAAGTATGTTTCTCTCTTTCTCTCTCTCCCTGTTTTCCAGGCGGCCCAGTCGGTACTTATCTCATTGTTCCAGTTGAACACTCCAGAGTTCACCATGCTGCTGGCAGCCCTGCCCAAGACCTTCCAGGACGGAGCCACCAAACTGCTACAGAACCACCTGAGGAACACCGGCAACACTGCACAGGTAACTGCACCTGTCCTTGGCTGTACCCCCCTCCCAGCAGTAACTACACCTGTCCTTGGCTGTACCCCCCCCCCCCAGCAGGTAACTGCACCTGTCCTTGGCTGTACCCCAACCCCCCCCCCCCCCCCAGCAGGTAACTGCACCTGTCCTTGGCTGTACCCCCCCCCCCCCCCCCCCCCCCCCCCCCCCCAGTTTGGCCTGATGAAGGCTCTGTAGGAGTTGGTTATAGACACTGTAAGAATGATGAGGCTGGTGGAAACTAAAAGGCCCTAGCATGTTCTGAGGAATTGATGCTATTGTGTGTTACTCTCTTCCCCCAGGCCCCGATGGGAAGTCCTCTGACACGCCACACCTCCCGCTCTCCTGCCAGCTGGTCCAGCCCCGTCACCTCTCCTACCAAAACATCACAGAACACATCCTCACCCAGGTAACACACACACACCTCCCAGAACACACCCAGGTAACACACACACCTCCCAGAACACACCCAGGTAACACCTACACACTTATATAATGTGGACCTATTGCGATGGTAATATGACTGATGTGTTGTGTGCAGTGCGTTTGACTACGACACGGAGAACATGAACTCAGACGACATCTACAGTAGTCTGAGAGGAGTTACGGAGGCCATCCAGAACTTCTCCGTCCGCAGCCAGGAAGACATGAACCAAACGGTGAGGGCGAGAGAGAGACTGTGTGAACCCTACACGATGGAATGTGTCTTATAAATGCCAGCTCGGTTTCTTGATTATTTATACACCACACAGACACACACACACACACACACACACACACAGACACACACACACACACTGACACCAGATAAGTCCTACCACTCCCCCTGTAGGGTGGGAACTGTGTGTAAGGGAGAGAGAGAGACACTGAACTCCATAACCATATAACCCCATCTGTTGTGACATTGTCTGGGGTCAAAGCATCACATACAGTGACTTCGGAAAGTATTCAGACCCCTTGACTATTTCCACATTTTGTTACGTTACAGCATTATTCTAATGCTCACTTCTCTCCGGGGTTCCCCTGCTCCCCCCTCGGGTCTCTCTCGTCTTCTTTCCCTCCCTCTTCGTCTCTCTCCCTCTCTCTTCCTCTCCCTCTCCCTTCTCTTGTCTTCTCTCTTGTCTCTCTCCCTCCCCTCTCTCTGTTCTCTTGTTTCTCCCCCGCTCTGTCTCTCTTACTCTCCCTCCTCTCTTTCCCCTCGTCTCGCTCTGTCTCTTCCCTCCTCTTTCCCGTCTCTCTCCCCCACTCTTTGTCTCTTCCCTCGCTTTCTCTGTCTCTCTCCCCTCTCTTTTCTTCTTCTCTCCCTCACCCCTGTTTTCCCTCCTCTCTCTCTTCTCTCTCCCTCCTCTTCCCTCCCTTCTCGTTCTCTCCCCCGCTTCTCTTTGTCTTCTCCCTCGCTTTGTCTCTGTTTCTCCCTTTCCCTCCCTTTTTTCTGTCTCTCTCCCTCTTCTGTCTCTCTCCCTCGCTCCTTTCTCCTTCCCCCGCTCGTTTTTCCTTCTCTTCCCCCGTCTGCCTGTCTTCTCCCTCGCCCTTGTTCTCCCCCTCGCTCTTTTCTCTCCCTCCTCTGTCTTTTCTCTCCTTTCCTCTGTCTTTCCCCTCGTTTCTTCTTTCTTTCCCCCTTGTCTCTGTCTTCTCCCTCGGTCTCCCTCCCTCTCTCTGTCTCTCCCTCCTCTTCCCGTCTCTCCCCTCGCTCTTCTCTGCCCCCTTTTCCCCGTTTTCTTTTCCCCCTCCTCTTCGTTCCCCCTCGTTTCTCTTCCCTCCCTCGTCTGTCTTGTTCCTTCCCCCGTCTCCTTGTCCCCCTCCCCCTTGTCTTCTCCCCCCTTTTCTTGTTCCTTGCTCTCTCTCCCTTTCCCCCGCTCTTCTTTTCTTGTTTCCCCCCTTTTTCCCCGCTCCCCTTGCTCTCCCGCCCCGTTTTCCCCGGGGCCCCGCCCCGGGGCCGCCCCCCTCGCCCTCTTTCTCTCTCTCCCTCCTTTCTCTGTTCTCTCCCTCGCTCTCCTCCTTTTCTCCTCTCTCTCTCTCGTTTTTTCTCCCCTCTCCCCCCTTCTTGTTTTCCCGCTCTTCTTGTTTCTCCCCTTTGTTCTTTTTCCCTCGTTCCTCTGTCTCTCCCTTCTCTGTCTCTCTCCCTTCCGTTCCTCTCTTTCCTCGCTCTGTCTCTCTCCCCTTTCTTTTTTCCCCCTCCCTCGCTCTTTCTTCCCCTCTCCCCCCGCCTTTCCTCTCCCTCTGTCTCTCCCCCGCCCCCTTTTGTCTCTCTCCCTGCTCCTTCCCTTCCCTCCTCGTCTCTTCTCTCTCCCCCGTTCCCTCTCCCTCCTCTTTTCTCTGTCTCCCCCCTCCCTTTTCTCTCCCCCCCTTTTCTCCCTCCCCCTCGTTGTCTCTTTCTCCCCCCCCGCTCTCTTTCTCTCTCCCTCCTCTCTCTCTCCCTCCCCCCTCCTTTTTCTCCCCTCGTCCCCTTTGCCCCCCTGCTCTGTCTCTCTCCCTCCCCTGCTCTCTCTCCCTCGCTCTTCTCGTCTCTCTCCCTCGCTCTTCTCTCCTTCCCTGCTGTTTCCCCCACTCCTCTGTCCTCCCCTCCTTTCCTTTCTCTCTCCCTCGCTCTCTCCCTCTCCCCGCCTTTTTTCCCCCTTCTCTTCTCTCCCCCGCTCTCTCCTTTCTCCCCCGTCTCTTCCCCCTGTCTCTCTCCCCTCCCCCCCTTTCCCCCCCCCCCTTGTTTCTCCCCCTCCCCTCCCTCTTTCCCCTCCCTCCCTGTCTTGTCTCTCTCCCTCCTCTCTCGTCTCCCCTCTCCCCCTCTGGCTCTTCCCTTCGCTCTCTCTTTTTCTCTCCCCCTCTGTTTTCTCTCCCTCCTCTGTCTCTCCCGTCTCTCCCCTCTCCTCGCTCTCTCCCTTCCCCCTCCCCTTCCCCTCTCCCTCCTCTTCCTTCTCCCCCTCTCTCCTCTTTTTCTCCCTCGCTCTGTCTCTGTCCTCTCCTGCTCTCTTTGTCCCCCTCTCTCGTTCCTCTCGTTCTCTCCCCCGCTCCCCCTCTTTTCTCTTCCCTCTTTTCTCTCCCTGCTTCTCCCCCTCTTCCCCTCTCCCTCGCTTCTCTTGTCTCTCTCCCTCGCTCTTCTCCTTCCTCCCTTTGTCTCTCTCCCCTCCCCTGTTTCCCCCTTCTCTTCCTTCCTTTTGCTCTTCTCTGTTCTCTCCTCGCTCTTCCCCTTTTTCTCTCCCTCGCTCTCTCTCCTTCCTCCTTGTCTCCTTTCCCTGCTCTTTTCTGTCTCTTTCCCCTCCTCTTTCTGTCTCTTCCCCTCGTCTCTCTCGCTCTCTTCCTCCCCTCGCCCCCTCTTTTCTGTCTCTCTCCCTCTCTTCTCTCTCCCTTCCCCTTTTCCCTGTCTTTCCCCCGTCTCTCTCCCCGTCTCTCCCCCTCCTCTTCTTTTTCTCCCTCCTTCTGTCCTCTCTCTCGTCTCTCTCCCCGCTCTCTTCCCTTCTCCCCTTCTCTTTTCTCTCTTTCCTTCCTCCTTGTCTCTCTCCTCCCCCTCCTCTTCTCGTCTCTCTCCCCCCTTTTGTCTCTGCCCCTCCCCCCTTGCCGCTCTCTTTTCCCCCCCCGCTCTCTCCTTTTTTTCCCCTCGGGCCCCTTTGCCCCCCCCCTTCCCCTTTTCCTTCCCCTGTTTGCCTTTCTTTGTCTTCTTTGTTCCTCGTTCTCCCCTGCTTCCCCTCCCCCGCTCTTCCTGTTCCCTGGGTTTTCCCCCTTTTCCCCTCGTTTTTCCCCCCTTTTTCCCCCCGTTTTCCCCCCATCTCTCTTCCTTTCCCCCTTCTCTAGGGGGGGGGACCCGGGAGGAGGCCCTACTCCTTTACACAACACTTTTTAACCCCCCCGTTTTTCTCTTCCCCCGGGATGAACCCTTAAGACTCCCCCTTTAAAAAACGCGTCAAAGAACCTGGAAAACAGACCCCAAAAGAGGTACCCAATTTTAAAAAAGAATACAACAACCAACCCCCTTCTTTTACAACCAAATTAAATCCTGGTCAGCGTAAAACTTCCCAAAACCCAAACAAAAATGGGCCTTTTTTCTTCTTTCAAACCCCCACCCAAAATTAAAAAATCCTCCATTGGGGTGGGGGGGGCCAGTGTTTTTTTTTGGGAATTAGGGGAGCATTAAAACCTGGGTTCTAAACCCCCCCCCGGGGTTAAAAATGGTGGTTTTAATAAAAAAAAAGGAAAAAGGGAAAAAAAAAAAAAAAAAAAATTTTTCCCCAAAAAAAAACTTTGGTCCCTTAAAAACTCTCCTCCCTCTCTCTCTCTCCCTCCTCTCTCTCTCTCTCTCTCAGGGTGGTGGTGCTGACCAGGTGGATGGAGGCCGTACTGCTCTGGACAACAAGACATCTCTTCTCAACACCCCCCTGCTCTCCTCTTCTCCCCGGGCATCCCGAGACCCCTTTATAGACTCCCCCTTTAAACACAGCGTCAAAGATATTTCACTGGAAGAATCAGACCAGCAAACTGATGGTACACACAACATTTCTTAAAGTGTCATATATGATTGATAAGTTGTCAATCAGTATCTCAACCCCCATTGGCTGTTGCCCCTGACAGACCGCAGCATTGACCAATCGGAGCTGGTGTCTGAGCTGCTGAAGGAACTGTCCAATCACAATGAGCGCGTGGACGAGAGGAAGGTGGCGCTTTGTGAGCTCTTGAAGCTGATTCGTGAAAACACCCTGCAGGTCTGCTGGGACGAACACTTCAAAACCATCCTCCTGTTACTACTGGAGACGCTGGGAGACAGGGAGGTACACACGCGTGCATCAATGCACTTACACACACACTTTTTGAACAAACGGACAACTTACCGCTCTTCTCCTCTGTCCCCTCCTCCCCTGCAGCATGTGATCAGGGAGTTAGCTCTGCGTGTTCTGAGGGAGATTCTGAGCCGCCAGCCCTGGAGGTTTAAGAACTACGCTGAGCTCACCATCATGAAGGCCCTGGAGGCACACAAGGACCCACACAAAGAGGTACACACACATACTCTGTAAAACACAGACATACACACACACACACACTCCTTATAATATACACACACACTCCTTATAATATACATGCACTACAGATAATATAATCTCTTGCAGATGCAAACACTTACACTGGACTCTCTCACATACACACACATTGACTCTCCCACTGTTGTTCCTGTGTGTGAATAGGAGTCATTATAACTGGTCCTATAACCCTGTTCCTGTGTGTGAATAGGAGTCATTATAACTGGTCCTATAACCCTGTTCCTGTGTGTGAATAGGAGTCATTATAACTGGTCCTATAACCCTGTTCCTGTGTGTGAATAGGAGTCATTATAACTGGTCCTATAACCCTGTTCCTGTGTGTGAATAGGAGTCATTATAACTGGTCCTATAACCCTGTTCCTGTGTGTGAATAGGAGTCATTATAACTGGTCCTATAACCCTGTTCCTGTGTGTGAATAGGAGTCATTATAACTGGTCCTATAACCCTGTTCCTGTGTGTGAATAGGAGTCATTATAACTGGTCCTATAACCCTGTTCCTGTGTGTGAATAGGAGTCATTATAACTGGTCCTATAACCCTGTTCCTGTGTGTGAATAGGAGTCATTATAACTGGTCCTATAACCCTGTTCCTGTGTGTGAATAGGAGTCATTATAACTGGTCCTATAACCCTGTTCCTGTGTGTGAATAGGAGTCATTATAACTGGTCCTATAACCCTGTTCCTGTGTGTGAATAGGAGTCATTATAACTGGTCATATAACCCTGTTCCTGTGTGTGAATAGGAGTCATTATAACTGGTCCTATAACCCTGTTCCTGTGTGTGAATAGGAGTCATTATAACTGGTCCTATAACCCTGTTCCTGTGTGTGAATAGGAGTCATTATAACTGGTCCTATAACCCTGTTCCCGTGTGTGAATAGGAGTCATTATAACTGGTCCTATAACCCTGTTCCCGTGTGTGAATAGGAGTCATTATAACTGGTCCTATAACCCTGTTCCCGTGTGTGAATAGGAGTCATTATAACTGGTCCTATAACCCTGTTCCCGTTTGTGAATAGGAGTCATTATAACTGGTCCTATAACCCTGTTCCCGTTTGTGAATAGGAGTCATTATAACTGGTCCTATAACCCTGTTCCCGTTTGTGAAGGAGCCATTATAACTGGTCCTATAACCCTGTTTGTGAAGGAGCCATTATAACTGGTCCTATAACCCTGTTTGTGAAGGAGCCATTATAACTGGACCTATAACCCTGTTTGTGAAGGAGCCATTATAACTGGTCCTATAACCCTGTTTGTGAAGGAGCCATTATAACTGGTCCTATAACCCTGTTTGTGAAGGAGCCATTATAACTGGTCCTATAACCCTGTTTGTGAAGGAGCCATTATAACTGGTCCTATAACCCTGTTTGTGAAGGTGGCGCGTGCTGCAGAGGAGACTGCGGCCATGCTGGCGTCGTCCATCAGTCCAGACCAGTGTATCAAGGTGTTGTGTCCCATCATCCAGTCAGCTGACTACCCCATCAACCTGGCTGCCATCAAGATGCAGACTAAAGTTATAGAGCGGGTCCCCCACCATGGACTAGTCAGCATGCTGCCTGAGATCGTCCCCGGACTCATACAGGTAACACACACACTCATACAGGTCACACACACTCATACAGGTAACACACACACTCATACAGGTCACACATACACACAAAGGTTGCACACATCCTCATGTTAATCAGGGTTATAACCCATCTATGTCATGTTATGCAGGGTTATGACAACTCTGAGAGCAGCGTGAGGAAGGCCTGTGTATTCTGTCTGGTGGCCCTCTACGCAGTCATAGGGGAGGAGCTAAAACCTCACCTCAACCAACTGTCTGGCAGCAAGGTGAGGGAGCACACCCACTTTCTACTAACCACACCCATTACCCATTACCTTGATTCACTGAACAAAAGTAAAAGCAACATGCAACAATTTCAAAGATTTTACTGAGTTACAGTTCATATAAGGGAATCAGGCAATTTAAATAAATTCATTAGACCCTAATCTATGGATTTCACATGACTGGGAATACAGATTTGCATCTGTTGGTGAAAGGTGATCCCATGTAGCTCAGTTGGTAGAGCATGGTGCTTGCCAGGGTTGTGTGTTCGATTCCCACGGGGGGGACCAGTATGAAAAATGTGTGCACTCACTACTGTAAGTCGCTCTGGATAAGAGCATCTGCTAAATTACTAAAATGTTTTAAAAAGTCAGATGCCAGTATCTGGTGTGACCACCATTGCGGCATAGAGTTGATCGGGCTGTTGATTGTGGCCTGCGGAAGGTTGTCCCACTCCTCTTCAATGGCTGTGTGAAGTTGCTGGATATTGGCGGGAACTGGAACACGCTGTCATACATGTCAATCCAGAGCATCCCAAACATGCTCAATGGGTGACATGTCTGGTGAGTATACAGGCCATGGAAGAACAGGGACAGTTTCAGCTTCCAGGAATTGTGTACAAATCCTGACAACAAGTTGTTGTGCGTTATCATGCTGAAACATGAGGTGATGGCGGCGTATGAATGGCACGACAATGGTCCTCAGGAAACCACTTGCCCACAGGTGTGGCATATCAAGAAGCTGATTAAACAGCATGATCATTACACAGGTGCTGAGGACAATAAAAGGCCACTCTAAAATGTGCAGTTTTGTCACAACACAATGCCACAGATATCTCAAGTTTTGAGGGAGTGTACAGTTGGCATGCTGACTGCAGGAATGTCCACCAGAGAATTGAATGTTAATTTCTCTAACATAAGCCGCCTCCAACATTATTTTAGAGAATTTGGCAGTACGTCCAACAAGCCTCAGCTTCTTGATATGCCACACCTGTCAGGTGGATGGATTATCTTGGCAAAGGAGAAATGCTCACTAACAGGGATGTAAACACATTTGTGCACAACATTTGAGCGAAATAAGCTTTTTGTGCGTATGGAACATTGTGGGGATCTTTTTATTTCAGTTCATGAAACATGGGACCAACACTTTACATGTTGCGTTTATATTTTTTTCAGTGTATATTACTGGATCAGCAGGATTCTAGAAGAACTGCTTCAGTTCTACAACCCTGTAACTCTCTCCCCCCTCTCTCTCCAGTTGAAGTTGTTGAATCGGTACATCCAGCGTGCCCAGTCTGGCTCCAGTGGTGGTGAGCCCCCAGCAGACAACCTATAGAACAGACATATGGAGAGTGCCCCCCACAGGACAACCATGGAACCGCACTCTCCCTCTGGAGACTTAACACTCACGGATACACTCTTACATGGATGCACAAACACATACTCACACACTTACATGAACACACACGCTTACATGAACATGCTGATATGAAGGCTCAGACTGACACACACTGTCCTCGATACAACCTCCCATTTCCTCCTTGTTGCCTACTACAATGCACTCTGGGAGATGCGGTGCAGAGGAGAGGATTGTTGTAGTTCCCCTCACAAACATTGAAGATCCACCCTGCTCTCTGAGACTCACCCCTGACCTCTACACACCTAACCACGCCCTCTGACCACCATCTTACTCTGACGCCTCAACGCCAACAGTTTCACTTCCTGGTTTCAGAAGTGGAGAACGGCCACATGATGCACTAGCCGCCCCCCCCCCCCAGCCAGGATGGATGGCTAGATAGGGAGGGAGGGAAGAGGGTAGAGGGGAAGGCATGTGCATTCTGCAGACCTGTGTGTTTGTGTCTGTGACGGAGAGTGGAGGGGGGGGGTTTAACCCCTGAAACTCTGAAGGCAAATCTGAAATGACGCACTAATCCCTACGTAGTGCACTACTTTTGACCAAAGCTACATAGTACCACTGGTCAAACTATATAGGGCTAGGGTTCCATTTTGCCCCTTCCCATGAGCACTTAGGTCAAAACTGCTCATAACAACTACATAGGCAATGGGTGTGAGGAGGCGGAATGTGCTTAGCTATGGATGACGATGATTTTAACAATATATTTTTATCCAGAGCCTACTTACTGTCACGGTAGAAGGGAGGGGGTGAAATTAAAGTTAACAATGTCCACCCCTTTCAGAGAAGTCCATGGTACCTTCCACTGCTCCCCGCCATGTCTTGGATGAGCACATTTCAGACAGAGATGGGGAGACATGGCTTATTATTATTGTCAGCTAGTGGATATGTATCTACACATGAAAACATGGAATAATAGCCGATAACGACGTCATTTAGGAGAGTCCCTGATGGAGGTGCGCGCTCTGCGTTCTGATCAGTTTTGTTTTCAGTTGCGCGCGTGTCATAGTCTCACTCAACGTTGGTTTCTCTCTACGGGGAGACGTTTGCAGAAATGTATTATTTACTGATCTGAGAAACTCGTGTCACCTTTTCCTCCTCTTCCTCCTCTTCCTCTGGTCATTCTCTCCCCGCTTCTTGTATCATTCTAGCTTTCACTTGGTTGTTTTTCCTCCGTGCATTTACAACGCTGTGCTTACAATAAAATAAAGAGGAGAAAAAAAGAACTTGTACAGACCATAATAAACACTGTTTCTGTCTCAGTCAATGGGAGGGGGCACCTGTTCTGCTGACACACACACACACACACACACACACAAGGTCTACAATTAACCGAAGTTGCGCCCCTTGTGCACTGACTGGAATCAACTGGTAATGATTGACCACCAGAGCACAGCACAGGGAAGATACTTCACAGTGTGTGAATGTGTATAAACTAGGAAGAATATATAGTCCACCTGAGGCTGCAGAATATACACTGAGTATACCAAACATTAGGAACACCTCCCTAATATTGAGTTGCATCCCCTCCTTTTGCCCTCAGAACGGCCTCAATTCGTCGTGGGTAATGGACTCTACAAGGTGTCGAAAGCGTTCCACAGGGATGCTGGCCCATGTTGACTCCAATGCTTCCCACAGTTGTGTCAAGTTGGCTGGATGTCCTTTGGGTGGTGGACCATTCTTGATACACACGGGAAACTGTTGAGCGTGAAAAATCCAGCAGCGGTGCAGTTCTTGACACAAACCAGTGTGAGCCTGGCATCTACTACCAGTGGTGTAAAGTACTTAAGTATTTTTACTTAAGTATTTTTGGGGGGGAATCTGTACTTTACTGTACTATTTATATTTTGGACAACTTTTCACTACATTCCTAAAACAAATAATGTACTTTTTACTCCCATCAATTTTCCCTGACACCCAAAAGTACTCGTTAGATTTTGAATCCTTACCAGGACAGAAAAATGGCCCAATTCACACACTTGTCAAGAGAACATCCCTGGTCATCTCTACTGCCTCTGATCTGGCGGACTCACTAAACACAAATGCTTCGTTTGTAAATGATGTCTCGAGTGCTGAAGTGTGCCCCTGGCTATCCGTAAATTTAAAAAAAACAAGAAAATGGTGCCTTCTGGTTTGCTTAATATAAGGAATTTTAAATCATTTATACTTGTACATTAAATACTTAGGTATATTTTAGCAATAACATTTACTTTTGATACTTAAGTATATTTAAAACCAAATACTTTCAGACTTTTACTCAATTAGTATTTTATAGTATTAGTATTTTACTGGGTGACTTTCACTTTTACTTAAATCATTTTATTTTACTTAAGTATGACTACTGGGTACTTTTTCCACCACTGCCTACTACCATACCCCGTTCAAAGGCACTTCAATCTTTTGTCTTGCCCATTCACCCTCTGAATGCCACACATAAACAGTCATTGTCTCAAGGCTTGAAAATCCTTCTTTAACCCGTCTCCTCCCCTTCATCTACACTGATATATGAAGTGGATTTAACAAGTGACAACGATAAGGGATCAAAGCTTTCACCTGGTCAGTCCATGTCACGGAAACAGCAGGTGTTCTTAATGTTTTGTATTCTCATACCTGAAGCTGCAGAACATAAGGTGCCTTTATAAAGTTTAGACCCACTTCAACCTTTTTTTCACATTTTGCTGCCTTAAAATCTAAAGGGATTCAAATACTTTTTATTTTTCTACATATCTACACAACCTACTCCACATTTTCAAAGTGAAAGAAAATTTATAGAAAATGTTCCTAATTAAAATATTTTTTAAAAAATACAGAAATATCATAATTGGATAAGTCTCCAACCCCCCTGCATTAATACTTGGTGGAAGCACCTTTGGCAGCCATTACAGATGTGAATCATTTGGAATAATATTCGAACAACTTTACATAAATCTTAGGGCAACATACACTACATGACCAAAAGTATGTGGACACCTGCTCGTCGAACATCTCATTCCAAAATCATGGGCATTAATATGGAGTTGGTCCCCCCTTTGCTGCTATAACAGCCTCCACTTTTTTGGGAAGGCTTTCCACTAGATGTTGGAACATTGCTGTGGGGACTTGCTTCCATTCAGCCACGAGCATTAGTGAGGTCGGGCACTGATGTTGAGCGATTAGGCCTGGCTCGCAGTCGTGGACCAATTCATCCTGAAGGTGTTCGATGGGGTTGAGGTCATGGGCTCTGTCCAGGCCAGTCAAGTTCTTCCACACTGAACTCTACAAAGCATTTCTGTATGGACCTCGCTTTGTGCACAGGGGCATTGTCATGCTGAAACAGGAAAGGGCCTTCCCCAAACTGTTGCCACAAAGTTGGAAGCACATAGTCGTCTAGAATGTCATTGTATGCCGTAGCGTTAAGATTTCCCTTCACTGGAACTAAGGGGCCTAGCCTGAACCATGAAAAACAGCCCCAGACCATTATTTCTCCTCCACCAAACTTTACAGTCGCCACTATGCATTCGGGCAGGTAGCGTACCCTTACCACCTGGGGGCGGCCCGTCAGGAAGTCCAGGATCCAGTTGCAGAGGGAGGTGTTTAGTCCCAGGGTCCTTAGCTTAGTGATGAGCTTTGAGGGCACTATGGTGTTGAACGCTGAGCTGTAGTCAATGAACAGCATTCTCACATAGGTGTTCCTTTTGTCCAGGTGTGAAAGGGCAGTGTGGAGCACAATAGAGATTGCATCATCTGTGGATCTGTTGGGGCGGTATGCAAATTGTAGTGGGTCTAGAGTTTCTGGGATAATGGTGTTGATGTGAGCCATGACCAGCCTTTCAAAGCACTTCATGGCTACAGACGTGAGTGCTACGGGTCTGTAGTCATTTAGGCAGGTTACCTTAGTGTTCTTGGGCACAGGGACTATGGTGGTCTGCTTGAAACATGTTGGTATTACAGACTCAGACAGGGAGAGGTTGAAAATGTCAGTGAAGACACTTGCCAGTTGGTCAGCGCATGCTCGGAGTACACGTCCTGGTAATCCGTCTGGCCCTGCGGCCTTGTGAATGTTGAACTGTTTAAAGGTCTTACTCACATCGGCTACGGAGATCATGATCACACAGTCGTCCGGAACAGCTGATGCTCTCATGCATGTTTCAGTGTTACTTGCCTCGAAGCGATTATAGAAGTAATTCAGCTCGTCTGGTAGGCTCGTGTCACTGGGCAGCTCGCGGCTGTGCATCCCTTTGTAGTCTGTAATAGTTTGCAAGCCCCGCCACATCCGACGAGCGTCGGAGCCAGTGTAGTACGATTCAATCTTAGTCCTGTATTGACGCTTTGCCTGTTTGATGGTTCGTCTGAGGGCATAGCGGGATTTCTTATAAGCGTCCGGGTTAGAGTCCCACTCCTTGAAAGCGGCAGCTCTACCCTTTAGCTCAGTACGGATGTTGCCTGTAATCCATGGCTTCTGGTTGGGGTATGTACGTACAGTCAATGTGGGGACGACGTCATCGATGCACTTATTGATGAAGCCAGTGACTAATGTGGTGTACTCCTCAATGCCATCGGAAGAATCCCGGAACATATTCCAGTCTTTGCTAGCAAAACAGGCCTGTAGCTTAACATTTGCTTCATCTGACCACTTTTTTATTGACCGAGTCACTGGTGCTTCCTGCTTTAGTTTTTGCTTCTAAGCAGGAATCAGGAGGATATAATTATGTTGCCCTAAGAGTTTGTGTAAAGTTGCTAGAATCTTATTCCAAATTATTCACATCTGTAATGGCTGCCAAAGGAGCTTCCACCAAGTATTTACTCAGGGGGGTGGAGACTTATCCAATTATGATATTTCAGTTTTCTATTTTTTTCTTCATTTGGAAAATGTTCTATAACTTTATTTCACTTAGGAAATGTGGAGTAGGTTGTGTAGATATGTAGGAAAAATATCTAAATGTAATCCCTTTTTAGATTTTAACGCAGCAAAATGTGAAAAAAGTTCAAGGGGGGTGTAGACTTTCT